TGAATGTCCTTTCACTGCTCCTAACAGGCACCCCTGCCTGTAGGATACACCTTTCACCCATCTTTTCCTGGTAAATTTAAAGCAAATATTCATGTTGATTCCTGTTCCTTTAATTTATAACTGCAACAATTTAATTCTAAATTCCCGTTTGTCTTTTCCAGAAAGGGATCACCTCCAATTCCACTTTACAGGATCTGAAAGAAGCTGCAGAGACTTTGTTGGGGAGCCTCGGAAGGCTACTGAAAGAGGTAGGCCGCACCACTTTTATATCAGGAATTCAGACACATTTAACAGTTACAGTGATCCTTCAAGCAGATGTGCTACATGAATGGGAGCACTTCTGTTGGGTATTAACAGCCTGGCAACTAATGGAAGAGGTTGGAGGCAGGGACCTGGTGGAGGGCATGATGATGTCACTTCAGGGGGAAACCTGGAAGCAAAGGCAGTAGTTCTAGGAATTATTGGAAACTCTGTGGTTTTACTATAGTGGTAGAACCATTGAGTTTCTGACAATTCCTAGATCAACCGTCACTGTTTGTGGCTTTTCCCTGGGAGTGACAGAATTGTGCTCACACTGCTGGGAAGTCCCGTCCCGTCCCCCCGGCTGCCTCTTGAAGTGGTGGTAGGCAATGGCAGCTTGGGATGAGGCATCCCCTTCACCGACTGGGCACTGGCAGCCCTGATTCACAGAGACTCTTTTCAGACATACACAAATGGGACAGGCTGGGGCTATTCCAATCTAAACCTCCCTTCTACTCCTGTTGGGTTATGCAGTTCCCGGAGTATCCCTACTCGTGCGCCCGGGAGTAGGAGTAAGTTGGTGGAGCGTAGCCAGGAAAGCTGGGCTGTTCTTTGCAGGCCGTAGCACTATATCAGTCCAGGAATCTTGAGGGTAAGACGAGAGGATTTATTTCTCTCTGACACTTTCCATGTCTTATTAAGCAGACTTGGCTTGTTTTATTGTTATTGGCCTGTTTTTTAAACGGTTGTATTGTAATGGCTTTTGTTTTTAATGGTTGCATTTTAATGGCTTTGTTTTGTTATCTTAATTGAAAACCACCTGGAGCAGGTTTCTGGAGAGGTGGCATAGAAAGTTTCTAAATAAATAAACATGTCTATGCGCTTTGCAGGGCTGTAACTCTGCTTAGGATGGCACTGTAAAATCAGCCCAGCTGAGCCTCCATTTACCCACTTGTAGAAAACGGCTCTTGGCAAGTGAAGCTTCCCTCCATGCTGGGAATTTAGTTCAGCCACCCTCCCATTTTGGCCATGCAATTCAGCCCTTCTCTCATCTTGGCCATGTAGAGAGTTCTGGTGTACCCTGTACCAGGATGGGAGCACGCTAGAAGTTCACTGTGAGCAAGATAATGAAGCACCGCTTGATAGACACAATGCCACATCTCATGTTCCAGATATTTGCTATGGGTTTTAGGAAGAAGCCTGAGGTTGGGTGTGAGATCTGGAGGGCTGATTATCAACAGATTGTTGAGATAACAGGAGCTAAAAATTATGAGTGGATGTGGATCAAATTGGTTGAGCAAGAGAACCCAGCAGGGGAAATGGCCGGGGTGCCTGGTTGGTCTTGTTTTTCAAGCCCTTTAAAGCGAATGAAGTTACACTGTGAATTCTTTCCTGAGCTCAGTCTGTGCCAATCTTTTATATGAAGTGGTTAAAAAAAACAACACCACTCCTCTTTTTGAATGTTGCCATTTGAATCAAATAAAGAGAAATAGGTCCAAGTGCTCCTATTGTGTGTGGTTTACTAGGCATCAGTGCTGGAGTGTTCAGGCCCTGAACTAAAGTAACCTCTCGGCAGAGCTGTCTTAAGGTCACTCAAGGTTGCTGAGAATTCCATTTCTACAGAAGAGGCAGAGTGAGACATCCTGCGTTCACAGTGGGAAAGCTCTGTTTCCTGAGGGAGGGGGGGGGGAAGCTTGCACCCGGTTGAATTCTAGAACCTGCAACGGTCTCCTTGGATGAAAAATGGAAATGGATAAAGGGGTTGAAATAAAGATAAAACTGCGGCCAGTTAACAGATGAGGCTGGCTGTCCTGAAAGTTCAAATTGTACCTTTTTTTGTTGTTGTTGCCTTGAGCCTTCTGGTTACAGCTGTTTCCTGTTATATTATATGGAAACTGTATGGTGGTTCAGTCTCTCTTTTTTCTTGTCTGAGGTTAAAAAAAAGAAAGAAAACAAACCATGTGACATTCGCTTTGCTGATGTGGCTGCCTTGCTGAGGAACATAACTTTTTTTTTTTTGGCAGTTTTCCCAAGCAATAGTCTATACCTTTCCTGCAGCCCTATTCAAGTTCAGAACTTTTGTGTGAAAACCACCACTTGACCCAAAGTTGCTTCTCATGGCGTGGCTGGCTAAATGTTCTGTGACAAATGACTCAGGGGAATGGAGGCTTATTTCCATCACTTGATTGCCATAGAAGAGGGGTAGGAGCTGAGTTAGTGGGATTGCCATCCATCTGGGGTGTGTGTCCATGTGCAAAAGCAATAAAATCCCCAGACAGACAGTGCTGACTTGCAGGGGTCATTTCCTGCAGGAGCGCACAGGAGCGGAGCTCCGGCAGTAAAAAGCCCAGGGGGTGGGCACATGCAACAAGCCCCACCCCCTGCTCCCAGCAGTCCTCAGTCAGAGCAAGAAGCAGCCAGGTAAGTTGCAGAGCCCCCCCCCCGGTTCAAAACAGTCCAGTGGCACCTTTAAGACCAAGTTTTATTCTGGTACAAGCCCTCCCTCCTCTGCGAGGACAGATCTGCACGTTCCCCCCCCCCCAATAGCTAGCAATCCAAAACAGTCCAGTGGAGCCTGAGCGGTGGGTGTTGCCTTCTGACACACTTCCGGTGATGTCAGGGGGTGTGGCATATGCAAATAAGTAACGCTAATGAGCTCCTGCACCTCTTTTTCTATGAAATGACCCCGCTGACATGCATGTATTAATCCATTTCGATGTCTGCAAATTTTAAATGGTCTGTTTCTAGATTTTGAAGGCTTAGCACAGGGGCTTGGAAGTGGTCAAAAACAAGTCACGGCCAGGTGGTAACTTTAACTAGCCCGTCTATACAAAATGGACTAAGCTGTTAACACGGGGCAGCTGGGAACAGAAGGCATGTATTAGGATGATATCTTGTGAGGCATTAACTGGTGTCAAAGTTACTTTGAAATCCATTCTCTAGATAACCCTGATGGGTTTTGAATAGGCCAAGATTTTATGCTGTTGGTGTGTCTGTCTGATCTAGTTCATCTAGTAACCTTTGAAGTGGGCTTCCTCTGTTTGGAAGCCTCAAAATGACTGTAGCGACAGAACTAATAAGTTATAAGCATCTATGAGTACCCCCTCTCAACTACGACACCCTGCTGTTTAATTGTTCACCATCTCATTCCAAACTGTGCCTGGCTTCATCTGAGAGAAGAAAATAAAACAAAGTAATAACAGAGGGGAGTTGTTGTGCCTGCCTTATACGTGGGTTAAGTGCCATCAAGCCAGGTCTAACCTATGGGGACCCTATGAATTAATGACCTCCAAAACACCCTATCATTAACAGCCTTGCTCGGGTCTTACAGACTGAGAGCTGTGGCTTCCTTGATCTCATATTGGGTCTTCCACTTTTCCTGCTGCCTTGAAATTTGCCTAGTATTGTCATCTTTTCCAGTGACTCTTGTCTTCTCATAATGTGTCAATTCAGTCATTTTAGCTTCTACTGAGAGTTCAGGCTGAACTTGATCTAGAACCCACTTATTTCTGTTTTTGGTGGCCCACAGTATCTGTAAAACTCTCCTCCAACGTCACATTTCATAGGAATCGGCTTTCTCCTTGTCAGCTTTCTTCAACTTTCACGCCCATACATAGTAATCTGGCATTTATATTAGAAGAAGCCAGGTACTGCCAGTAAGAGTATAAGCCAACGGCCACTGAGAGGTTTCTCTGCTGGCAATTGTAGTTGTTGGTTCTGACAGCAGCTGATACAGTCATGTGTGAGTTTTGTGAATGCTTGGAGGCTGGTTTTCAGACCTGCTTATTATATTACATTTTAAATATATACTATAACACCTGTTAAGTCACTGCTGGGTCAGAAAAGATGTACTAATGTCGTGTTCCAGCTGGTAAAGTGTACTCAGAGAATAATAAACTGCTCCTAGAGTCACACCAGTATGTCCTGGAGCGAACCGTGTGGATTACCCTTTCTGACAAGTTGTTCTTGCAATTAGAGGAGAGTCATCCTAGTGCTTTAAATTGTAAGTTGGGTAACCATTAGTGAATCATATATTGTATAGACCTTGTGGTAAAATGGTTCCTGGACAGTGCTACCTCAGACTACAGGTGGTAGCAAACAAAACATGGTATACAGGAAGATAGAATATAAATGTTTCAAATAAGTATATTAAACCTTCTCTGGTTGGCCTTCAGCGCTGCGCTGTAAATCTTTTTGTGGTAACCAGCAGCACTGAGCTATCTCAGAACTCCTTGGAAAATACACAGGTCCAAAACCTTCAGGTTCATCTCGTATTCACCCTTACCCCACAGGATTAGGTTCTAGGATCCGCTAGCTGCCATGCTAATAGGCTCAGCCTAGCATTTTGAAAACATTTTTAAAAAATGGATTGCTAATGTTAATCCCTTCCTTTCCACAGCTGCTCAAAGTGCTGAATAATGTCAGTTAATTTAATTTGCCTTGCTGGAGTTTATTTTGAATTATTCTGTTGCTTTTCTCTGTGTGTGCACTTTTCCATCTGTTATTATCTGTTTAATATAGTACTTCTTGGCTGCATTTTGAAGTTAGATAAAAACAAAAGTTGGGACGTACATATTTTCAAGTCAAGCTAAATGCCAAAACAGCAGCAAACTTTTTTTTTTAAAGACAGTATGCTCCCTTCTCTGACTAGCCAAAGGTCTTGCAGGACAAGTGGACCCTGCAGGATCATCTAAAAGCCAGGAGAAAGGGATGCTACTGAACCCCAAGGTCTTTTGGTTGGGAGCATTCTACAAAACTAGGGTAGCCACTGAGAAAACCCTGCTCCAGATTTAATCTATTTTATATGGGATTACTTTAGAGTTTGTTTGTTTGTTTGTTTTAATCACATGAAGCTGCCTTATACTGAAGCAGACCATTTGTCCATCAAGGTTGGTATTGCCTACTCAGACTGGCAGCAGCTCTCCAAAGTCTCAAGGAATGGTCTTTACATATCACCAATTCCTTCGTTCCTTTAATTGGAGATGCCAGGGATTGAACCTGAGAGCTT